TCCCCATCTCCCTGGGCGCGATCGCACTCACATTCCCAGTCCCCATCTCCCAGGATACGCTCGCAGTCACCACCCCAGTCCCCATCTCCCTGGGCACGGTCACCACCCCAGTCCCCGTCTCCCTGGGCGCGGTCACCACCCCAGTCCCTGGCGCGCTACGATCCTCAGTGCAGCAGAGGGGTTATTTTTGGCTCCCTGGACTACAAACTTCAATCCTCCATGGATAAAGCAGGAAGCTTCCGCTTTATTTATAGAACGTCTGCCGGCGAGTCACCTTTCCTCCGCCCAGGAGACAGAGGGGCGGGGGGAGGTGGAGAGACAGGCTTTATTGACTTGTATTGACAGAATGAGAAGGAGTGTGGGATCTGACGACTCCGATTCGATTTCCAGAAGCGGCCCCGAAGCTGAGCACTCAGGTGAAGTGGTCTACCCACTTACTGCTTACTCACAAACAACTCCTCCCCACAGTTTTCCCACGCGGGAAAGAGCAGCTTACTTTATTGGTCAGACTGGTCCTAAAACAGCTGCCCTCCAAGACTGCACAACGTCACCTCTTCACGACCCCACTCCGCAGGCGTGCTGCGGGAGAACCCCCGCTTGTTTCGAGTAAAGAGGGATGAAAGAGCTGCTTCTCGGGGGAAGACAAGCCTGCGGACGACGCAACAGGGGCTGACAGCACCTCGAGTGCAGAGAGAACCCTGCTCTGACCCAGCGTCAGCTGAAAGCTGCACAGACCCTTCATACGCATGACAGAGCTGCTACAGCCCTTCAGTGGGCTAAATCTATTTGTGACCAACATCTACAGTATATGCAAAGGAAAAGAGAACTCCCAAAATGTAACTAAATTTCCTAAATTCCTCACAAGATCTAAACAACATTACTCCCAAGCTAAATCAAAGACCAAAACAACATATTTAATAAAAATAAAGCATTGGCAATTTCAGAAGCAAGCACTGATTTCCAGTGGAATGCCTGAAATGTGCCTTTTATTGTAAATGTGTCTATTTCCTCAGCCGCACAAAAGCAACAATACAGGAGAAAAAATGAAATGGCTGCAGTCAGGTTTCTGAAAAGCCGACGTCCACACTTCACCTCTGAAACGAGACCCTGATACTCTGTGCTTAGATATGGAAGCAGGGCTGCTTTGAAGAGGAAATTTAGTTTTCCCAAAGGAAAGATGGCCACTTTCTCAAAATCCTTTGATCTTTCTGTGGCTGGGGGTGGGAGCAGCACTGTGAGCTTCCAGTACATCAGTCCGCTCTGACAGAGAAGATTCAGCACAACTGTCACAGTTCCATGACTTCTGATGTTAAATTAAAGAGCTTGCCTCAACAAAAAACTTGCAGATCTCACACAATATGCTTCCCTGACAGAACCGGACTAGCAAGGGAGAAGTATAGCATTTCCTCCCAATTGTTTCTGGACTCTGGAAGAACAGGTTGAACAGGCTCCAGAACGGAGAGCCAGGAACCTGAGTGGCAACACTCTCCATCTTCAGCCACCAGAAGAGCTGGTTGAGCTGAGGAGTGAGAGGCGTTTGTGTGGTGTGCATGTAGAGCCGCCACATCGCGCAGTGACTCATGAGACGTGCTCATCCAGTTTGGCGAAAAGCGTTTTTTCAGTTGTTCCTACAAAAAAAAAACTCAGCCAACAGTCTAATCGTGCCAAGTCCATGCAGCACTGAACGAGATCAGCTGGTGATGATGGGGTGGAGCGCTGGCTCTGTGGCTCAGGATCTGAGCCAGTGGCTGGAAGGTTGCCGGTTCGTATCCCGTGGCCAGCAGAGGAACTGTACTCCGTTGGGCCCCTGAGCAAGGCCCTTAGACCCAGCTGCTCCAGGGGCGCTGTATAAATGGCTGACCCTGCGCTCTGACCCCCAGCTTCCTATCTGTGTGTCTCATGTAGAGAAAGTTTGGGTATCTGACAAGACAAATCCCCAATACAAGAAATTGTATATGGCCAACAAAGCGATCTCTTATGCGAACCGATTGATCCCGACTGTGGTGTCGGTATGGGCTAAGTCGTGAGCCAGGTGTTCCCAGGATTCTTTGGACAGTCTGCTCCTCCAGTGCTCGCCGGCTCTCCTGCTCTCCTCCGGGCTCTGACGAGCGACAGAACCGAGGCAAGAGCCACCGGAGCGAGGGGAAACCAGAGTTCAAGGACACTTCCGTCGCAAACACACAGATCAATGAAGATCTGGCTTCTGGCTGGAACACAAGCCCATTTCTTTGGATCTGAAAACGAGCAGCTCATGGGGGGCGTTTGGAAAGACCATGTCACGCCTGTCAGTGCCACAGCATGACTACCTCAACCCTCCAGCTTCTGAACGACTTCTCGCATTCACTGCGAAAATAAAGCGCTGCTTGTTTAATGGAAAATAGTTCCAAAAAGAAAAGATGATAACACAGAACTGTGCAAAGAGCAACGATAAACTTCGCTCAAGGCTTCCCTCCAAGTCAAGGGGCTGATGAATGCCAAGGCCTCGAACGAGTGCAAGTACTGGCTGCAGAAAGCCAGGGCACATGCGAGCAGCTCTGCACCAACAAGAAGGCCGGGAAGCCTCACTGCGATAAAGTGCAATTGTCAGTTTACAAGTCACATGAAAAAGGCCTGTCTGTGAGCTACACAGGATGCGAGAGAAACTAATGACTGCTTATTGATTTCAGCTCTGCCAACATGCTAATCGCTCAGAAATAAAGGCAATTACTGCAAGAATAAAGTCTCAGAAATTAAAGATTTAAGCACACCTGGTCAGCTGTCACACATCTGAGTTCTAGTCTCACTCTATTAGAGCACTGTAACGACTTTCATTAGATGCACACAAGCGGTGAGTGAATAATTCAGGACTCACTGATGAGACTGTGTGATACCTGACTGAGCACAGCTCTGCACACAGGCTCACAGAATCGACAGTCTTGATCAGAAGTGAGAGTTAGCTTCCTCACTAATTAAACACTCCGAAAGCCTGTTCCTAAAAGAAAGAAAAAAAACAGTAAATCTAACCTTGGCAAAGCCCAGTTAAGACCCTGACTTGTCAAAGGCTCACAAGGACAACAGCAATGCAGTCTTGATTTATGCTTTACAAACACCCTCCATTAAGACACTGTCACTGTGAATCCATGCAATTTAATCTGCCCCTGCAATCATCTTTGTCCTGACCTACTGTAGATGTCATTGAATTGTACAAATACTGCCCCAAAAATTATGACCACACAAAAAGTCTCGCTATTAATTATAACTGAGACTCAAAATAACCAACTGAGAGCACTCAACAATCAACTGTAAACAGTTTTCTAAAGGATGAAACCGTAAATAAAGAGATGTTGTTTTTTTCACAAGACATTCTCGAAACATCTGTTATTGCAGAATTATGGTTCAGAGTTGGTTTTTAAGCTGTAATTAAACTGTGCAATGGTTTTCCGCCCAGCTGTGCCAAACACATCGCATCACTCTCGGTTTTAAGCGTGCAAGGCTATAGGAATCAGAATCCTGCATGAGGTTTCCTAGTATCATGATGACATTGACTTTTAATGAGTTGTTCAGTCATATCCTTGTGCTGAACCTAAATGAGATACAGTGGATGACTAGGGTCCACCTTCTCTTTCAAATTTTGAAAACTTCTCATCAGACTGATAAGACTCGTGTGTTGGTTTTCAAAGAGACAAAGATAAAACAGCACAGACTTTCTACAGCTTTACATCTATGCAAACTTTTAAAAAAAAATGAACCCAATGGCCATTTGGCCTTTAGACCACCTTCTTAAACCCTAAGGTGAGTTTCTAAACTGGGTGGTTTAACCATAAGAGTGCAGGAACTGTGTTACAGAGGCAACCAAATTATGAACCACTATTCTGTAGGAAAATTCTGTATGTGATCACAGACTTCCCCACAACACAACAAGCACATCCCTAGAGAAAGTACAGTTCCTTCACAATTAAAGCAAGCGTCATGTGCCCCAAGATGCCAGAGTATTATGGCCTTAAGCCTTGTTGAGTGTGCCGATTTTCACAGTCTTCAGACAGAGGCCACACTATTGAAAGTGAGCTGTTCTCATGTGCTTGTGCTAGAGTTGTGGACTCTGTACAGACAACCCCAGCAAATCCCTGATGTTTCACTCACTCCCAGTCATTAATCTCTCTAAACTAAACCCACACTCGAAGTCTCAAAGCTGCAGCTCAAACATGTGACAGTACCTCACTGTAAAGAATGAAAAAGAAGAAGGACGTTTAGTTGAAAAGGCAAGATGATCTCCAAGCCTGCCTGTGCAGCTTATTGCTAAGGTCTGAATGCCAAACACAGAGACATGAAGGTGTGTCCCGGTTGTAGGGATTCATGTATAATTAGCAGGTTAAAGTTGTCTATTGATTTTTCGAGCCGATACACTACCAAGGAGGGGCTTTGTACAGATTCCAATTGATGTGAGCACATTTCATTGAAAAAAAAAGTGTTGATTAAGAGTAACAAGATAATCACAGCAGGAACACTGCATTTTACTTTTTTTTTTTCCTAAAAGTATTCCAATATGGAAAAAACTTCGTTTTAAGAGAGAGCACCCAGAAAAACAACACTCGACACTTGGCGACAAGCTCCTGAGGCTGACACACATTGCTGAGAAGCCCTGAGGGAGTACTCACCTCCTCCACAGAAACTGGCAGGATCACCCGGCTGGAAAAGAAGGAAGGACAGAATGTTACAACCATGACTTCACAGAAAGCACAAACCCGCTTTTCGGCACTCCAGAGAGTACAAGAGGCAGCGGAGCCCTTAATAAACCTGTCAAAAGGTTGGCAAATGTTTCAAATACACCTGATAAAGTCAGGTTCAGAGCAAAGAACAGCAAATTCGTTTTTTTGAAAATGCAGCACAGGCCCAGGCCAGGGTGAGATTGCCAAGACCTCTCTTGAGAATTACATCCAACTGATGTTCCCAAGATGAAAACCGTAGGAAGCAAATAATTTCACGGTGGTCCTGCAGCCTGCGCAGTGCCAAGAAAGGGTTTGTCTTCTTGGAGTGGGCTGATCTGTTCCGCCTGATCAACCAAGATGCTGGAAAGCAACATCGCGTTCAAGGCATCCTATGACACCCAGTTTCATTGAAAACGCAGAGGAGAGTTAAGGGTCACAAGTGATGAGCAACCGCAGGCTGGTC